CCTATCATTTCAATTCAGTTTAAATAATATTCTTCTAAACGTTTCGAGCAGAGAGAATATTTTTCAAAAATCTCTTTAAAGTTATATAATTTGAATTTATTATTGAAAAGAATTTTCTAATGCAGTCTAGCAGACCATACTGAATGCTTTTCAAGCGCATAATTTATTCAAATATTATTCCGACGGATAACGCGCGCGCATGGATGCCTTGTGAACGTTAAAGCGAGGGCGGTTTAGCCGCGGGGGAAAATGCCTCAGGCATTTCTCACTTTACATGCATGGGTTACAGCTTTCGTACATCCCCGAATAAAGGTTACAGAATGCTGCAGGCCGGTATACTGAACACGCTATTCACCAGGATGGATCTTCCTTACGCGACGCAGCCGCGCTGCACCAGACCGCCGGACATACCCCTCGAGGGAGAGGAATATTCGTGGGACGTCATGCTCTTGATAATGAAACTCTTGTGGAGTCTCATGAGATCGGTGTTATCTCCGAATACACTACCGGAACACCTGAAGGACCTTCCATCGCTCAAGCAATGTGCCATGTGGTATTATTTATTGTTGACACGCCTTTATTGGCACTTAAAAATATAAAAATAAAGTGAAAGAAAAATAACCACAGAATAAACTTTGTTTATTTTCGTTGCATATATGTACTTTTTTTTAACTTAGATATTTTTTTTTTATTTTCTGGGTGTTATTTATGAATTTGTTAGGTAGTTTTTCTTTAATAAGGACGAGTCATTAAGCATAAAATATACGATTTCTGACCCAGTACAGGGGCTTAAGGTATTCCTTCAAGCGGCAGATACTTCGCGGTCAATATTGCGCCGTCAATTTGAGGATCAGGAACGACATTGCCGCATTGATCCTCGCTGGAATCGTGACTCTATCCTCGTGGGATCTTGTCAGCAGCGGCATCGCGGAGGATGTCGTCAATCTTTTACCCGCAATTGAATCCGGCAGTACCAAAATATGGACAGAAAGTGTGAAGTTCTCCGACAATGAAGAGGATCTCTTCTTCAAAAAAACCCTACTGATGATCATCGCTCATCTCGCCGATATCGACGTTTACGTCTTTGTAAATTATTCTCATCAATTTTATCTCATAAATTTTGAATAATATTATAATGAAAGAGACATTAAAAAACGAGTATAAACAATTTTTTAAACTTATTATTTTTTAATATAACTTTTCGAGTCTGAATATTTAATTTCAAAACCTATTTTGAAAACGCAACTCATTTTAAAATTTTAAAAATGTATTAACGGAAAGGTTTTTAATTTTTTAGATAATGAAAAAAGCGATGATTATGCCGATTATTCTCCGGATCATTAAGTCCTGCATGAGCAATAAAAAGGATAAAGGATCTTCTTCTGCGTCACTGATTCTGTTGGAGCACGCGATGCATATTTTATCACTGTTAGCGCCACGATTAGAGACGGAATTTGTGAAGCGCAGAGGCACTTTTACGTAAAAAAAAAGAGAGATGAAAAATTAATCGGATTTTAGTA